TCCTCATGAGGCCCCATCTGCAGTACTGCATCCAGGTCTGTGGCCCCCAGCACAGGAAAGATGTGGAGCAGTCGGAGCAAGTCCAGAGAAGGGCCACAGAGATGCTCCGGAGACTGCAGCACCTCCCCTACAAAGACTGACCAAGGGATTTGGGCTTGTTCAGCCTGAGAAAGCTCCGACAAGATCTCATAGCATCCAGTCCTTAAAGGGAGTTTATAAACATGATGGAGGCAGACCTTTTCCATGGCCTGATGGTGATAGGGCAAAGGGGAATGGTTTTAAACTAAAAGAGGGGAAGTTCAGATTAGATGTTAAAGGGAAATTCTCTACTCAAAAGGAGGTGAGGCCCTGGCATGGGCTGCCCAGAGAAACTGTGGGTAGCCCATCCCTGGAGGCATTCAAGGCAAGTAGGATGGGGCTTCGAGCAACATATTCTGGTGAAAGATGTCCCTGTACATAGCATGGTGGTGAAACTGGATGAGCTTAAGAGCCCTTTCAATACAAATCATTTTATGATTTTATGAAACAGCTGTAACAAAGAAACAACCATCCAGTAAAGATAAAATGCTTTGCTGATCTGGCCATCTTCCAGACTTTCATAACCTACTGCTCAAACACTTGTTTTATTTACCCTATGGGAACATCTTTCAGGCTTCAATTGATTTTAATTTCATCCATCCCCTCAAATCCCTAACACAAAAATCCTTCACTCTAGGCAGCTGCACATTTTACTTCCCCTATATACTTCAATATATAAATATTAGTGAGGATCAGGTAGAATTTTTTCCTCTTGCTCAACCCTTATGAGCCAGATCATCAGCAAATTGTAACTATTGTGGCATATGAAATAAACAGAAAGCCATTTCAGTTGAAATTTGGTTGAATAAAGCACTAAACAAAAAGGAATGAGACATAGCACTGAGCAGCCAGTGACACAGGAAACGTGTCCTTTTTAGAACTGTACCTTAAAGGCTGTACACTAACAGTGCAACCAGCAGTACAGTTTGCAGAGGTGCTTGCTCACTATACACTGTGCAAACACTTATAAACAGTTAACAAGCCAAGATCAAGATTTGCCTTGCCTAGGCTAAACAAGGTAACTAAGTAAAACAAAGCTATTGTTAGGCAGCTAAGATTTACTGCTGAAGGTCCACCCATTGTTTGAAAGGTTGAAAATTATTGCCAAGATTTGGAACCTCAGGAAAATACTGCATCTCTGTGAGTTGGCATAGTTTTGGACCCAAGCCATCCATGCAGCTGCATGCTGTGAGAAAGCCGGGATCTGGGATGAGGATCCAACAAGAGAAGGCAGAGAGCAGAGTAGGGACATCTCACCCTGGACTCTGCTGAGAAATAAACAGTGATGGGGCAGAAGGCAACTGCAGCTCAGACAGCAGGCATGAGTCTTCTCACGTCGCAGGGGAACTCGTGTATCTTGTGGAGCAACACAAGCACTAAGTGCTTAAGGAATCGTAGGGTAGCCCATTGCTTATCAAGTCCAGCCAGCCATAACTGTGCTGCACCTCGTTCTGTGGCATCATCACCCACTTACAGAGCTTACAGGTGCTGACATAAAATAAACACCACCAGTTTAGAGGTGTAGTATTTCTCAGTCCTGAAGGATTTCAGGATTTACAAAGGAAAAATGTCAGTGAACTTAGTGGGAAAGTTTTCATGTTGAGAATTCAGTAAAAATGCACCAGAAACCCCAGGTGTGGGAAATGTTTGAATGATCACAAACACTGAAGGCCATGGAGATTTCTTGCTAGTCCTGGGGATCCAAGAACAGGGAGTTCTGTGCTGTGATGGGGAAAAGTTGATTTCTGAACTGCACCAACTATGCCAGCTCCTCCAGTTCTTGTGGGAAGCCACTCCCTGGCATTAGGATCAGATACGGCTTTTGGCTGCCTATTTCAGTGACGGCGTGTATTTTGGCACAGATACACCAGTCCTGCACCTGCTGGCAATTCCCTACTGCAATATACCCTCAATGAGTTGTTCCAAAGCCCCGTTTGAAGAGATTTCAGCATCAGAACCAGGGAAATGTCACACTTCCCCGTTTCTCTGACTATGTTGTCCGTGCCCCACAGGACCCACTCGCAGGAGCCTGCAAAGAACCCACCTCAGCTGGCCAGTTGGAACTGGGCTTTCTGCAAGAAATCTCACTCCTTTCTGACTCTTTTGTCTCCAGAATGATTTCTTTGCTCTGGGACTGGGCAGTACATGGTTTTTATCAGACCCAAGGATCATGTTCTCTCACTGTAGTCTCTCAAGTCCTTTAAGATTTCATCTGACCTTTGCATTTAGCAGCTACCTAAGAAACAGATTTATTTTCCTTTACTGTCATCTGTAAGGAGATCTCACTTCAAACCTGCCAGCCAGAGGATTCACGAAGCAGAACATACCTTAGAAACAAAAGCCAAAGAGATGAAAAACAGTGCTGCCTTGAGGGTATGAGAGCAGTTGTTTGGGCTCTTCCCCATTTGCAGCCTGAAGCATTATGTTGCTTTTTATTGCAGACTTCTGTGATCACCTCAGCCAGCAGGCAGAGCTGGATGCTCCTTCTCTTATAGAAGAAGGGCCTATCCTTGCTGGTGGCCAACTAATTCCTTTCCCTCTAACTTCAAGTAGAGCACAAGTTTAATCTCCAGCACTAACTAGAAGCCTCTTCTGATAGTTTAATAAATTTTAAAAATCACATCAAGCTCTTTAAAGCAACACAGGCCATCATTATCACAAAGTGGGGAGTTAATCAGAGGATGTTTTACGTTTTCCAAGGGAGGAACCTCTAAAGCATTTCCACTTAGCTTGCTGGAATTTAAGGAGCAAGTTAATTAATTTGTGGCCTGTGGAAGAACTCAAGGGCTTACTATAACTTCTTAAAGACCTTTTAAAATGATTTAAATGTTACAAAAAGTACTGAGGCACCACCTCTGGAGACTGAACATGCCTTCTTTTCCACAAAGGCAGCCAAGCTGCCGTACATCTCAGCATCACTAAACAAGCATGACTTGGACCAGTCAAGCTTAGGTGGGCAGTCAAGTGCTCATCCTATCCGGTTCTGTCACACATCACTGAATTTTCCCTTTCTCACAGCCTATGCTCATGTGTTTAACTTGGGGCTTGGAAAACTTCAGAAGTTGACAAACTTTGGGCTTAGCTGCAGCGCTGTACTTGGTGTCCCTGTGAAGAAGAGTAAATGTCAGCAGTTACAGCTGTGATTCTGTGCCTCTTAAATTGAAATGAGACTGGAATTAAACTAGAATGTCATCCAAGTAAGGTAGTGAAGAGGTAATAAAAACTTTGGCCCACACCTTCAGAAGGGATGTAGCTGCCCAACTACCTTTGTTTTCTGTGATTAAATTGTCAGCAAATGCTATTGGTATGAGATTTGGGAATTCGTGACCACATAACTGCTTTAATGTCTTTGGGTCCAAGGCACCATATCTCATTTTCCTCCTTAGTTAAGCTGCTGTCTCCTTGATCACTCATCAAGCTCCATACACTTCATGTCCCTGATCTTGAAGGGTTTCATCCCAGGGCTCCTCAAAATGAATGCCTCTTCTGAACTAATCAGAGGATGAATCACTTCACTTTTTAGCAAGAGTAAGCAAACAGTCTGTTATATAGTTTCTGGACATTGTTTTCCCTTTCTACTGGATCTCTGCTTTGACTTCAAAATCCTGCTCTTTCCCTCAACTGGGGGGATTTCTTAACCAACCTCCTTGGAATCCATATGGGAGAGAGAATCTTAGTTTGTATCGTATTCCAACTTTTATTAGGGATTTATTTAACTGCCCTGCATTTGCTTCAAGCCTGGACTCCAGGAAGGTGATCTCTACTCCCTGCAATGTCTCAATTTCTATTGAGATCCAGAAACCTGATTTTTCCTGTCCCCAAAATCTATAACTTTGGAAAGAATGTAAGACAACAGTAGTAAGACTGAATATAAGTATTTTCAAGGGTCTTTCCCCTTTTAAATGGAGGAGCTGTGGGATTTGAACATGCATCTCCTCCAGACTACCTCCAAGAGGAAGGAATCTAAGTGCTCCCTTAAAGATCTCCATAAGTGCACGGTAAGAGTGTAATGCACATTGTGTTCTACTTCTAGCCTTGCATGCAGTGTTTTATTGCCAGGCAATTCACATTATATGCAGCACTGAATACAGGGAGGAACAAGAAGGTGATTTTAGAAGAGAAAGGTTGGCAGCAGAACCCTCTAACTGCTACTGCATTTCTGAGCCTTGGATCAAAAGCTTTGAGCTTTCTTACTTGCATGAGTAAATCTGAAGTGCACTAAATAATTTATCTCCTTCACTTGACTCTCGTGCTGACTTGAAGGAACAACTTGTGCTATCAGCTTGGTATTGTTCTGTCATATCGTATGGAGAAGGACATGGAGGATTATTATTTGCCCTGATAATAAGGGGTATTTAAGAAAATTCCAGTTGGGCTTCAGAAGGAAAGGAAATACTCTGAGATATCACTTCAATAAAAAATTTTGTCTGCTTAAGGAGCAACATTGTAGTAGATAGAAAAAGAGGCACTGGGTGAAGGCAAGAGCTAGAAATGAGAGAATCTGGCACTACCAATGAAAGTAGTGCTTAAAAGGACTGCTCACTATTAGCACCTTTACATCTCTTGGGTAGAATCATAGAATCCTTAGAGTTGGAAGGGACCTGTTAAAGTCTTCCAGTCCAGCTTCCCTGTATGAACAGGGACACCACAGCTGGATCAGGTTGCCCAGGATCTGATCCAGTCTCACCTTGAAAGTCTCCAGGGATGGGGCATCAACCACTTCTCTGGGCAAGAGATAGGGTAGAAACAGGAGGTGCTGTTTAAAAGTGTTTAAAGAACTCCCCTTAATAGAGCATGCATTTTACTGCCATACATACTTATCTACCATCATCAAACATGCAGTTACATTAACGTGTACAATTCTTCAGATGATCAATTTATTATTTAAAATGGCATTTAGTACATTGAATCAGTACCTAAGCTCTTTAAAAGGACAATTCAAACAAATTTGACACTCAGAATTTGTAGAATCAATATTTTACAGTTTTTTATAATCTGTCCAAGACTGTTATCATACCAAAAAGTCTCTTCATTGCTGAATTTCAAACAGAAATGAAAGCAGTAACTTTGATCAGCTCCAGGAAGTGGAGACTGCTAGAAGCTGAAGATAAAAATGCCAAATGACTCCTAATCCAAAGATTCCTGAAACATATGAACACAGTTGAAATGAAAACATGAATAAGTGGCTTATTAAATGAATATTTTTCCAATCATTTTTGATTCAATGCAATTTTCATGTCAAATTTCAACACAAGAACTCAGTTTTATTCTATATTTCTATAACAGGAACATACTCAGGATACTGTGAAAAAGGTAATAGCACTTAGCAATAACATATCTGTCCATCATCCCTATTGTTTTGGATGCGGTTAAGAAAGGGAAAAAATCCCTGAAGAACTTAATACTGCAAGGAATAAGTTTCACCTAAAACTATTTTTAATAGAAAACATTTAACAACCTTTCAACTGAATGTGCCTTGCCTTAACTTTTCTATATGCTCAAGAAGTAATAAAATGAATTCTCTTTCATCATTCTGAGGTTTTTGTCCTGCTAAGATGTGTGACTTGAGCTGTGGTGAATGTAGGGAAATCCATTTACAATTTATTGTCACATCAAGTGACCTATACAGAAATAGTGGAAAAATCCATGGCATCCTTTCATTGTATCTGTAGATCATTAGCTTTTGTATTTACACATTTCTTAGTAAAAAGATGTAAGAGTTTAGATCTTAAAGGATAACAGAATCACCATGTGTCCCTGTTGCATACTTCAATATGTAAAATTTGCACAAAGTGTATTATTCCTGTTTTAACAGGTCTGAATATGATTTCTTAGCTTACAGGAAAGTGCATTTCTTCTCCTGTCAGGAGACGTCAGGTGCTGAAACAAGACAGTGCCATGGTCATCACTTAGGTGTGACTGCCATTTTATTGACTGTAAAATGACACTTAGATTCCAGTCTATATCCTGTTTGTTTCATACCCTCTTCATTCTAAGACAGAAGATCCTGTAGACTGTCCCGCATACATCCAGAAATAAGAGTATGGTACAAGGTGATGAGTTAATGACACCTTCAGGTACCAAATAGTCATGCTGATAGTCATCCCAGATAGGGGCTCTTGGGAAGATTGACTCATCCTGGAAAAAAAAAACATTACAGGTGTATCTTTGCCTCTTGGTGGCTGTTAAGATCACCCCTGCATACAAATGCACTGCATAAACAAACTGTAACAAAACAGCCCCGGGCAACAGTATTACAGGCTGAGTCATTCAGAAATAAGTATTTCTTTTCTCAGGGGCACATCAGTCATTCCCTGATCTGTACCTGACCCTAATCACACTCCTCAGCCTTCTAGCAGCAGCCATGGTGGAGTACTGCCAGAATCCCTTCCCTGCTGTGCCTTGGTTCTCATTCAGCACATAAGCTTTTCCTTTCCCTTTCCCTCCAATGCTGTTCCCTGGATTACAGAGGAATCCATCCCGAAGCACCTGCTGCCATCCCCTGAATCATGGCAGGTGAACTGGTGGCTCAGCCACCCATGGATTTCTCAGTCAGAACTGCTCAGACACTTCTGCAGCTCTGCTTAAACCTTTGCCTAAAGTCCTGTCTCTGCCCATCATCGCTGCAAGTCTTGTCCTGTCCTACACACCATAACCAGTGCTAAAATCAAAGTGCTAGCAGCTACTCATGGCAAGTCTCTGCTGCTTTCGCAGCCATTAATGGTCCTTCCTTCTAATCCAGTAAGAACATGACATGTGCATGTTTCACATTCTCCCTATCATGTTTCCCACCTGAAATCACAACCTGAATGTTTTTCAGGTGAGCAGTGCAGGAGAATCTGATCTAAGATCAAAAGAAGAATACCTGCACTTACACACTATTTTCCAAGCTCTCCTTCCTCTACTAAATGTCCAGGTTTTCTCAGGATGACTTTGTAGTGCAAATGAAAATTCCCCAAGCTACTTTTTTGAGTGATGCTTTGCAGAAGATACTTCGGTTGATGCACCATCCTGAGAATGACTTAAAGTAAGGACCAGACACCACCTTGCTGGGAAATATTAACAAGTATGAATACCCTCCTAAGAAGGAATAGATCTTTTAAAGACAGGAAATGTGAAGTATTACAGTCAGAAACCAGAGCAACACAACCTTACTACCTGCCAGTGAGACTGCCTACACCCCATCAGAACTTTCAGTTATCTTAGTGGTGTGTCGGTAGAGTGACACCACCAGCAGGCCTAGGCTCTTTAATCTTCCGTGCATATTTACATGCTCATAAAGTGCAGTCCTGACTTTTGTATGGTTCTGTTTCACCCACCTGCCTTACTCATTCCTAAGGTCTGTTCCTCTACGATCGTTCATTCTTACTTATTAGTGGTGCCAAAAAGCCCAGTTCATTAACACACTCATTTTTGTGCCAAGGTTGTTATGAAAGTATGAACATGTGATTTCCCAGAGGGAAACACCTGGGAAAGCCCTCCAGCAAATGCCTGCTGCCAAACCTTCCATCCTCACTGCAGCTGTCTCCCTATGAGCCTGTTCCTCATGCAGTCCCCAAGCAGCACCAGACTCCTCTGCTTCTCTAGCAATTTTCCCTGCTACTCAGTTTCACATATTCACAGTGCTTGGTCTCATTTACCAAGGATAGGCTGGCTTAATCTAGCACGATCCATTCTTACTTCATACCTCATTCCATTCATTTTCTTCTTTTCTTCAAAACTTGTCTTTGTTTTGTTATGCTATTGATGTCAGCCTTATGACACCTGTTCTGCATTCCCCCACTAATCTCAACAGAGTCCAAGGGACATTTAGGAAGCCATCAGACATATCCTGCAAGAATGAGAAAGCTGCATTAACAGAAAATGAGACCTAATCTGCAATTTTATGCTTAATTCTGCCCACAGCACACAAGGGAGAGGGATTAAAAGCAGGGCTGTTGTAAAAAGAGGTTAACTAGAGTGAGCAAGAAACCACAACTTGTTACACAGAAAAACAAAAAATGGCAGCTTGTTTTACTAGCCCTAAGTGAGAAGAAATATGACTGCACTTTCTAAATACATCACAGGACAAGTCATAAGCAGGACAAACATCTGATAGTTTAAAGATGGCACACCAATAAATGATTACCAGCCCTGCAGATTGGGTAGTGAAGCTAAGGAGCATCCATTTCCATTTTAAGAAACCCACGTGTTTAAGGATGAGACATGGTTACCAGTGACAGGAGGAAACTAAACTCGGTGTTACTGAAGGTGCAAACAAGTTTTTAGAAAGTGTGAGCTTAAACCACTGAAAAGGTCAGAGAAGAAGCACTGTTTGTCCACCCTCAGGGAGCACTCTGACATCTCAAAGTCCCTCTTTTGCTACATGCCAAATTCCCTCAGCTTCCTCTATCTAAGACAGCAGAGCTCTTTGTTGAGGTGGACAGGTCTATTGTGCTTTAATGCATGCTGAACTCCAGCCTCTCCTTACAACAAATAATCTGACAGCACGGGTGGCATAGGTTCACTTTGGTGCATCCTCCCCACGCAATCTCTCTGTCCCTGAACCCCCACTCACTTCCCCATTTCTGACTTCCTCTCTCCTGGTTAGAGTTCCCTAGGCATTTCCAAGTCACACCCTGCATCCCCATCATCCCACTTGCAAAAACAGGGTCTGGTTTGGAACTGTCCCATGAGGCTATAAAACACAGGAGTGTCCCCAGAGAGACTGCAGGCATTGAACCCATAAAGGAGGGACCAGTAAGTGCTATTTCTGTAGCCTTCGTTTTTCCTTTAGACTGATCAGACTCTAATTTACCCCACCACATGTAAAATACCCTGTGAAGAGGTATAGCAAGGGCACTTATAAAAGAAAGTCATCCACATACAAACAGTAACCTATCCTCCCTAAAAGACAGAACTAATATCAAGAGAGCACTTAAATTAGGTGAGATCTTTCGTACAACATTTTAAAGCACACATTTGCACTACTTCTCAGCAGCTGGATCACAGCCATTCAAAGGAATGTCATCCTGATGCAATAAATTAGATGCCCCTGTAAACTGAAAGACACCAAGCTGTCACATGAGGGATTTCAATTTATAACTCTAATATAACCTCTGCAGGTTCTCTTTACAACTTTACTCTTTACAGATGAAGGGTTCAATCTGGTAATTCATGACAGGAAGAGGCTTGCCTCTACTTTCATTAACCACTGCAGGATACTATTACTCACAATAAAGCTTGCAGCTCAGCAAGAATTCCTCTTCTTTCTTTATATTTGTCTATTCAAGTATGAGCAATGTGAGCTTTAAGGTAGATACACAGCATCTTTCATAGGAAAAAAATTCCACGAGCAATTGTGAGACTCCCAGGCAGATGTGAACTTTTCTTCCAAGGCAGCAATAACACAACTTTAGAGATGCTGAAACGTGTTATACACGTCAGTGTACTGAAGCATTGCAATACATACACACTTCCTAGGTGCTCAGCCCATTACAACTGAGACTCTGCTGGAGACCATCTCTTCCAACCCCACCTTTTCAGAGCAGGTTGTCCAGGGAAATATCCAGTCAGGTTTTGAGTACCTTCACTGACGGTGACTCCATGACCTGCCAGGACAATGTGCTCCAATGTTTCACCACCCTTACCTTACAAAACAAATATGTTCAGGTGGAATTTCATGTGTTTTAACTCACACCCATTGCCTCTTGTCCTGTCACTGGGCACTACTGAAAAGAACCCGGTTTTCTCTTCTATACTCCTCTCTTCCTCCCCAGCAGGTATTTGTATAGATGGAAATCCAAGAGAGACACTAGAAATTTCACCCTCAAAATTCACAATCAGGCAACTGTTCCTCTGCTGGGAGGATATGAGTTCATGAAAGGTTTACAGACGTTTTCACAGGGAGTGACAATGTCATGATCCCTTTGGGCTGGAAGCCTGGACAAGATTCATCTCCTCCGAGATTCTGAAGATACATAACTTGGCACAGCAGTGATGCATATCAGTCTCAGATATTTCTTTGAGATCACATGGAAAGGACATTTCAGAAAATGAATTTTACTCCAGCTTCTAACCTGTGCTTATTTTTAGCAAAGCGTAGGTGTGACATACAATAATAAAGATAGTGGTGTCTTGAAAGAAATTATGAAGTATGACATTTATTTTCACCCTTTTTCAAAATCCCCTTTTATTGATCTGACAATTTATTACTACTGCTGTATAAAGATAAAAAAAAAAAAAAAAAGGGACTGGGTATGCTTAGAAGCGAACTGTGAAAATCCTTTAAATGCTGCAGAACAGATAGTTAACTGTTCAGGTGAACTGAGAAGATCAGATAAAACATTTGGATTCCTTCCACCTATACCACTAACATTCGTTGATCAGCTCCAAGCCAGAGATGGAGTTCTGGGGAGACATCTTAAAGCAAGGACCTTCAAAATCCCATAACGTGTTACTTAATGCAATAGACTCACAGAAATGCAAAGTCAGTATCATTAACATATGGGTGCTCTACGAAAGTCAAGGTTGGATTAAATAATTTGGGTATTTGGCAAAAAAAAAGTGAGAACGCCACCTCATTCAGACTGTTTCAGTGACATGCTCAGGAGGGAAATGAAAAAAAAAGGGATAAGTGTGGCACTTGGTCCTAAAGAGAAGAAGGGTCTTTAAGACATGTAGATTATATATTTCCAAACTGAAGTTTAGTTTCTTTTACATTCTTTTGAGGCAATGAAATCTGTGCCTTCATAGAAATGAAGCAAATTTTTTAGTTTGGACTCAGCTCTAAATCTGTCATATTTGACAAAGTTTGAGGGGTAAGAAGAAATGCCTTACACAGAGCAGTGATATGCTTAGCACGGGCCTGTATGATGACAACACATGTTGCCAAGCCAAACCACCTCCACAGCACACCTTTTGTACCCACCTCCCAACCCCCCCAAAAAACAAAACCAGATCCAAACTGGGCTTGCTTGCTACACTACCAGCACCTTGTTTTCTCCAGCCATACCATGTTCTATGTCATTTTTTTGTAAGTGCAGAGCAAGCTCGCCATGAAAACCTCTCCTTGTGTATTTTCATGAAAACTCTGTTAATTTATTCATGGCATTATCATTCCAGGCACTCCATAGTGTAGCAGTTTACACAGATACATACAACAGCAGAGGAAAAACTGCAAGACTGTAAAGAATAGACAGCCCAGATAAAGTGATGCTGAAAGATCATAACAATTCTCCTTCTGAGGCTGCACAGTATCTCAGTAAATAATCTGGATAGATTTATGCAGGTGCTTTACTGTAGTCAACTAGGGATGTCTTTCAACTGTGTCTACAGCACAGTTATTTTTTGCTATAACACAGACTGCAACAGAACTTCATTTAGGCTACAGTATTTTCTGGAAAGAAGAAAAAAAGAAACTAATCATTCAGTTCAACCTGTAAAAGGCTTTCCAATGACCTCTAGTTATGTATGTGACATGTATGTGAAAACCTCCTACGTCTAATTATCTTGGCATAGAAAGGAACAGACTAACAAGCAGTGTGTGATGAACGTCAGTCCCACCACTTAACACAGTCCCAAATATTATGAGGAGCTGCAGAGCATGAACACATCCAGAGCAGAATCAGAACATGTGTGACTGCTCCAGCGATGCATGCAATATAATCATGTTTAAACAGACCCATCTGGGTGATGTGTATTATGACCACATTGACATCCCCACCACTACTGCTTTCCAAAACACTGAGTGCGTTACGTAGTGCTTTGGTGAGATGGGGAGAAGCATTTTTGGCTTTCTACCACCCACCAACTGTACAGGTCAGGATTTTCTGAAAAATAAGTTCTAACAAAAATAGCTTTAATGGAAGTATTCCTGCCTTTTTCAGTCATGTTTATTGTCTTGCACTGCAAGTGTTTTCAGTAAAGAGCAGGAACAAAGGAAGCTTGCTCCTTCCTACCTTTAACCATTTACAGCCAAATTTTCACAAGGTGGATACCCCTGACCCCATCTCTTCTTTTTTTAAGACAGGATATTTTCCTTACGATTTCATAAAATCATAAAACGGCCTGGGTTGAAAAGGACCACAATGATCATCTAGTTTCAACCCCCCCTGCTACGTGAAGGGTCGCCAACTACAAGACCAGGCTGCCCAGAGCCACATCCCGACATCACCTGGGTACTGCGGCTCTCCCTGCCAAACCAGTTTTCTCTCCCTATTTTACATGAAGAAGATAAATTTCTCCAGAGTTCATGACCTCCCCTTGATGATCGTTCAGATTTCTGAGAACATAACAGGCACATTTGTAGCTAATGGCATCATGCTAACAATAGTGTCTTAAAACAAACAGCGTGGTTGGTTGATGTTTGAACAGCAATCAAGTTCACTGAAGCACAAATATTTCTCCTATAGGCTTTCAGGCACTTGTTGCAACCACCTGGAGTGAAATGCAACAGTTGCTGTAGAGTGCAGCAATCTATGGACAGAAGTGGTGAAAAAATTGGAGAAACTGAGAAAAAAAAATAATGTCTAGGCAGAATTTGCATAATGCTTCCAGGAAAAAAAAGAAAAAGGAGAGGGGAGGACCCACTGCATTTTATAGGGTGATGAGCTGACAATGGACCACATGATCTTAGTGATCTTTTCCAAGCTTAATCATTCAATGATTTTAATAAATTCTATATTTTTAAGAAACTTTGTTAAAAAAAAAAAAAAAAAAAAAAAAGAGGTACATCAGGAAAGGATTTAAGTGGACTTCTTCATTTGTCTGTGGAGGAACAAGAGTTTTGTTTGGAGAACTCTTCATCAACTGCCTGCCATGTACAAACAAGTAGTGTACCAAGGTTCCTGCTTTTCAAGTAACGAGTCAAAGAACTAAAGCAAACAACAGAGCAGATTTTCAACAAGAAATACTGTCCCAAATTACAGTCAAAAAGAGTTACGGGCAGAGGGAGGGATTAGGAAATATGCCAGCCACATTTTTTACTCTTTGTTTCTCTGCTGTTAGCTTTAGTGCCTGGCAGAAATGATGGGTTGTAGCAGAACCAAACAATGCACAACAGCTGCACCCACACAGTCCTACTGCACACCTGTCTGTACTGTAACTCTCATCTGTGAGCAGCCCAGCTGCAGTGCACCAGACAGAATCCCAGCCAGCAATCCACAGCAGCAGATGTTCCTGCACTACGTATATATGCTTAGCCAGCACAGTTACTCGATATCTTTGTGCAGCCTCTTTCAGTACTTTGACTACAGGTTCCAATTTTTGGAAACCCAGATGCTGAGTGGAGCAAACAGTGATATAAGGTGAAGACCACTGCACTGTGTGGGCTCAAGACCTTCCCCCACCAGGTCATCTTACCCTGTACCTCCCCTCCCCCACTCCCCTCCATTCCCACATCAAGCAACAGGGAAGGAAACACCATTTCCTACCAGTGCCAGTTTGCCACTGCATTATTAGACAAAAGATGTTTGGTTCTTCTGATGGCATAGGGTAAAGCATTCTTGTTTCATAAGCACCTGCTCTACTTGCTTGTTTTTCTTTTCATTACTTTTATTCTTTTCATTATTGCCCATTCTGCAGTTTCTCAGGAGTGACTTTTCTTGACCTTCACAAGGAAAATGGCATGAGTTTTCCACCCCGTTTGTCGCACCTCCAGAAGAACAGGTACCTGAGCAGGGTACCTCCAAAGAGTACAGCAGCAGAGCAGGAACGAGGCATCCACAACCTCTCTGGGCAGCCTGTTCCAGCACCTCACTACTCTCATAGTTAATATCTTCCCCCTGACATCCAACCTAAATCTTCCTTCCTTCAACTTAAAACCATTTCCCCTTTCCCCGCCATTATCTACCCTTTCAAAGAGTTGATTCCTCTCCTGTTTGTAGGCTCCCTTTAGGTACTGGAAGGCTGCAATGAGGTCACCCCACAGCCATCTTTTCTCCAGGCTGAACAAGCCCAGCCCTCTCAGCCTGTCTTCAACGGGGAGGTGATTCAGCCTTTTGATCATCTTCGGCTCTTCTCTGGACCCTCTTCAAAAGCTCCCCGTCTTTCTTGTACTGGGGGCTCCAGACCTGAATGCAGTACTCCAGATGGTGCCTCACAAGAGCAGAGTAGAGAAGGACAATCACCTCCCTGTCCCTGGTGGCCACCCCTCTTCTGATGGAGTCTCATATCACAGACTGTTTGCAAAAGCTCAGGGCTTTGCATCTCAGCCTTTAGTATCACTTCTGAAACCAACATTTGTAATATCTAACTGTATCCACATCCACAGTTATCAGTCTTCAGGCCATTAGATTCACTGTCAGCAGCTTCAGTTCCTTCTAAATGGTAGGAGCCTATATGATAATGTATTATTTGGATATTTCCAACAATAAGAACTCGGTGTGCTTATGCAAACCAATTAGAAGTTAGGCTTACTTGGGTCTTACCCGCACCTAGCTCATCTTGTTTACAGTGAATAACAAACTGAGACTATTTAATTGCAACAGCAGAAGCTGCAGCAACACTGTTAGAGCTCATTATGTTGTCTGCATCTTCTTCAGTGTCACCACAGACCACATTGAAAGTTTGCTGAAGCAATCTCTAAGGAAATCTCCTATTCAACCATCCGCGGTCAGAAAAGCAATGATAACCAGTGTCTAGAATAACGTACACAGCTCTTTCTCTTCACACACAAACAGCAACCTGAAGGAATGCAGTACAAACCGCAACTGGGAGAAAAATCAGGTAAACAGCATACATGATACAATGAAGTGAAAGTAGAGACTGTCACAAAGAAGTTTTATGCAGCACAAACCCAGATACACCAGAAGGGCTTGCTGCCCATCCTCACTGAAGAAGACAAAAATAAAGACTAGAGGAACCATAAGAAATTGAAGAAATGTGGCTAGGTACAAAATATCTACAGCATGGTCCAAAGGAGTGGATGGATACAAGAATATCTGTGGTTCAAGGCCAAGCTGGATGGGGCCCTGGGCAGCCTGGTCTAGTATTAAACATGGAGGTTGGAGGCCCTGCCTGTAGCAGGGCAGTTGGAGCTTCATGATCCTTGAGGTCCCTTCCAACCAAAGCTATTCTATGATTCTATGGTTTATGAAATTAAAAGACAGCATTAGCTGCTTATCTTCATGGCTTCTTACAGAGAAAGGCATAAGACACGAGGGACAGTGAAAAGCAAAGGCGATAACTGCAACTAAGCCAGGTAAAGAATCCTCTTTCATAAGTGGGGGAAAAAAAAAAAAAAGAAAAAAAGAAAAAAAAGAGAAGGAACAAAATAAGACCATGTCTGTCTCCCCAGTTTTTGTAGCCTACACCACACTCGATATGCTGAGCTATGAAGCTAAACGGCAGAGTCCTTCCCGCCTGCATCAATATGGCATCAGCACGGACTGTGAGGATATTTTCAGAGAATTCTGTCCCACAAAATGAGCATCTGGGAATTCCAGAATAGCAGGTTTCTGCCAGGCTTAGTGCTGGCACTTGCTTGATTTCACACTTTATTTCACAACGACCTACAGACCATCCTCTTCGTGCGGTTTGTCTATGCTGAGCACACCTGCCCAAATCCAGGACCCCAAGGCTCCAACTCTCCTCTCCTCTGCAGAGAATTTTAACTACAACTTTACTGTAGCACATGATTACCATGAGAGACAAGACTGAAGCCCAAGTGCAAGGATCTTGACAATATGCTCACATCTTTATCACAGCAAATCTGAGCTCCCCATCACTGGCAAGGCATTAATCAGTCACACCAAAAAGTAATTATAGTTAGGAGTTGCACTCTTCCCAGCATCAGCTCACCAGCCTGAGTCAAAAGGTACAGAGACAGCCTCTTCAACAAAACAGTAGAATACAAAGAGGAGGAGAATCTAGTGGTTAAACATGAACCTTTTGGGGGCTTGCCTTATAATTAATGGAACACACACTATTTAATATGCCACAAGGATGACCACACACTGAAGTCAACAGAACCTGGGTGGTGACCTGCCCAACCCAACATCTTCCAGGCTAGCAGCAAAGCATGCTGGAGTGCCACCGTGCAGTCTCTGCTCAGAGCTATGGGGATTCTACTTCATTGTGTAGAGTCAGCTACAACTTACCAGCCTACACTGTGTGCTTCTTACCCAGGGCAAGAACAGTTGCTTTAACACACTGCCATCAGCTCAGTACCACAGGAAATCCAACAGGGACATACCCCAGAGAAGTTCATCATCTGCTGATGGTGTTTGCCCAATGGCATACATAATGGAGAGCAGCTGGCAAGGTCAGGGCCATTTAATTATGAAGTTGTGCTTCTAAACTTGCCTTGCCTTCTTTTACAGGTGGTATTTAGTTTTCCTGTTTTCTAAACCTATCAATGCTTGCAAAATTCTGCCCCTTTTTCCAGAGGAAAGTGGGTGTAACATCCCACTCCCTTCCCTGCCACTATTTCCCTTATTCATGGGATGTGCAGATGCCCACAGTCTCTGTGAAACAAGTAAGGAAGGAGATAATTGCATGGAGCAGAACTCCTGCAACTTAATAAAAATTGGTAGGAAAGACCACTTTCTGTTCAGGAAGCAGAAAAGCTATAGCTTAGTTTTGATTGTTTCCACTTATCTTCAGCCAACCACTGTTACCTGATGAGAAAATAGCCTCTCTTTCCCCTGCCCAGCTTGATTTGGTTTGACGAAAGATTGAGGAAGCAATCACTCCTTCACTCAGAGTAATTGCTGCTAAGCCCCAGCTGGACCTGCTCAGGCAAATTTGAAGTGTCCTAGGAAAAGCATAAGCTAAGCAATTGTGATAGAGGCAGGATGCTTCATATCAAGGTTTAAAAATAAAGGTAGCAGCAGTTTAGCATATCCAATTCAAGGGAAAAGCAACAGTACAATAGGGACAGAGCAGGAGGAGGAAAGAGCTGGGGAACTGGGAGAAACATACCCATCCATAAGCCATCACTTTCTCTTAAAGAAGGGGCTTCTTTTGTTTATATCTTCCCTCATCTTCCTGTGAAACATTTCTATAGGCCTAACTGGATTAGGAGGCAGTGGCACAAGATGGAGCAGGACACACGCCCCGCAGGCCTGGCAGAGTTGTTTATTGGTGCTACAGTCTCGTTGCTGCACCTGCAGGGCTTCTGGCAGGAGTGGATTTCTGCAGCAGGATTTCCAGGCTTACAGCTGTTTGCATATGTTTGTCCTGAGGACTGAAAGCAAGCAGTGGGAGTTGTCATCCTTATCTGATCAACATCCCTGTTTTCTTTTTTGTTTTCAGCTGTGATGTACAATGTCTCCCGGGAAAGACTTCTGTATATTTAAAAAGAGTATAAATAAAATTAACTTATCCAAACTCAGTTTTCTTTCCTTACTCTCCTTATTCATTCTTCATTTGCATTGATTTCCTTCTGCATTTGATCTGTGCTATCCATCTCCACACTGTTCTTTCCTCTTCTCACCACGGTCTTACGCAGGGCTATTTATCAGCACTGTCCTGTTTCCAAAAGGCAAGATCTCCCTTTTCATCATTCCAGCATTCACTCCCACACTTTCTCTCCTACCTTTTGACTATTGCCAATGTCTCTTCATCATTTTGTTAGTTCTCTTCCTTTTCTTACTTGGATTGATTTCTATAGCCCTCCTGGGGAAAAAATAAAATAATAAAGAAAATATAAAGTGTGTGGGGGGGGAAACCGCTCCCTGGTCCAGGAGGGGTAGGGAGCACAGGAGCATGCTGACAGCCCTGGGTGCAGAGGTGAAGTTGTTTTTCTGCTGTTAGCAACAATGCTTTCCATTTTCCTTTTCTGATCACTGTTATTCTCCTCTTCTTTCATCTCCTCGGAAAAGAAGTGCTGCAGAATTAGCACTGTAGTACAGCAAAACCTTTTGTTCCTTAGAGGTGAAACTAACACAAGTCAGGTCTGAGTTCATGCAACATGGTGTTCAGATACATAAATGAGGATTGCAGATCAGCTGTTGGCTCACATACAGATAACAGAAAGATGAGCAGTTTCAGAAAAGGTCTTTTCTTACCCAGTAATCATGCAGATCAGGAAATCTGGTTCTTACTGGACAGACTCTCAGGCACTGAGTAAAGTCAGAGGAGATCCAGTAGGAATTGAAGATGAAATGGCTCCTAGCCTCAGCTTTCTGCATTTAGATGATGATGCCTCGCATTCAGAGACCACAAAGAGCTTGACCTCAGCTGTCCCTGCTGGGGCTGAGCACAGTGCTTGTTACTCACACTGCAACACAGATGGATGCAGACAAAGCTAATGAGATGAAACCTGTGCTTATGGCAGCACTGGTGATGCTGCAGGAAATCCTACCATAGCTGCTTTCCTTGCCAAGATGTGGTGGTGAGCCTAGATGCATGCTGTATGAAAAATAACATGCTTGAAATCCTCTTCATTACTGTATTACAGTTGTGTATTTAAGAAAGAACAACATCAGTATGTAAAGGAGGGGTCATAAGAAGGAAAGGTCCAAATTCTTTCATAGAGTCTATCATGATAGGAAAAAAGGAAACGGTTTCAAAGTAAAAGAGGGGAGATTTTGATTGGATGTAAGTTTTTTTATGATAGTGGTGGTGAGGCATTGGCACTGGTTGCCCAGAAAGGTGGTGGATGGTCATCCCTGGGGACACTCAAGATCAGGCTGGACAGGACTCTGAGCACCTGATTGAGCTGTGGGTGTCCCTGTTCACTGCAGGGGAGTTGGACCAGTTGGTCCCTTCCAAACCAAATGATTCAGTGATTCTGTGATCTCCAGAGTGCTAACAGAAAATGATATATTGCAATAAAGGGAGTTGGAAAGGACATTGTTACTCTGCACTTTGCTTCTGTCCTTTCTACAGCTTAGGACTACTTCATTTCCCTTAATGAAGACTTCCTGTTAGGGGCCTGGAGTTGTTACAAATTAGAAAGCCAAGGAAGGATATTATGCATAGGATACGTATGGTTAGGAACAGCTATGAAAAATTCTTCTTCCTTTCATCCTCAAACCAGATGTCCCCAGTCTTGCTATGTTCCTCAGGTAACCCAGTCACCAGTTTCAAAAAAATACAAGATACTCAGGAGTCTGTCATCTGGGCATGACTGCCTCTACATCCCAGTTAGCTGTGGGGAGGCTATAATCAGCAATAGGAATCATTCATCTGGGGTGGTCTTCCTCAGAAGGAAAGATCCTCATTTCTCTCACATTAAAAAAATGATTTTTTCCTCTCCAGTTTTCTGGAGGGAATTCAGAATGACTGAGGAAAAGTTTAGACGTGAATATTTACTCTGTACTCCTCTCATATTACAGAGATTGCAGACTTAGAACTGAATCCTTATCAGAAGTCAGTGGGACTCATATTTCTGCTTCATAAAAGACTGAACAATTTGCCCTCTGATCACCCAAGTCCTATTGAATCACTGTGTTGGTCAGTATCAGGAAGCAAATTATGGGCAACAGCTTTGCATAGCACAAATCAATATCCCCTCATATACACCTTTCACAGCTTTGTGTAGAGAACCCCAGGTGATCTTATCCTTATAAAGAATCTCACCGTGCTCTGACCCTGCCTGACTCCTCCGCTGCTGCTGTGGGAAGTAAGGAACGTTTTCTCTCTGAATTTGTTCAGTTTATGGCTGAGGTGTCAACAAATGGAATTAGTGCAATGGAATTAGATCAGTTTTTTTGTGGTTTGGGGTTTTTTTTGTTTGTTTGTTTTTTAGGGAAGGGTCCCCAGCGTCAAGCTAGTCTGACAAAACACATAAGAATAAGCATAGAGAATTCTCCTTGCTTCTCCAGAAAATTCAAACATTAATTCCTTTCGGAATTTTCTCTGATTTATGTTGTGCTTCCCAGTCTAGAAACAATCAATACCACCAGAGATCGGCTCATAGCGAGGCAAATAACCATGCAGAGGGGGTCCTAATATTAATGGAATTTGGGATAAATTCACTGAGATGAAGTATTATCTTCTGCTTCATGGGTGGAATAATGATTCTAAACCAGACTAGTTTGAAAGAGTTCAACAACAGATCTGTTATACCCATGTAGTGCTGACTGGAAATCAGTGAATTTTCAAAAAAAGATATGTAAGTTCTTAAGTTTCCAAATAGCACAGGTTTTTTCCACCCCTGCGAAGCTCCCCCAAGAACAGTTCTTGAAGATTTGATTTGTTCATCAGCTGGTGAAAGCAGGGCTCCTCACCCATCCACCATTCCAACGTTAGGCACCCAGTCTGCTCCGCAGAGCAGGCCCTCTGCATCCAGTGGGAGGATGTGCAGTTCTCTGGGCATTCAGTCCATACTGCAGAGAGGTGTATAAAATAGGTGTTGAGGGACTACAACACCAGGCTTTCACACCACAGATGTTAGGGAAGATACCATCCCACCATAAAGGTAACGCACTGGGAGGACTCCCATCTCCTTCAGTGATAATAGAACTTCCCTTAGAGGGTTTTCCAAGAGCTTCCCTGCAGGCAATCAAAGCTGGGTTGGATGGACCCTGAGCAGCTTGATCTGGTGGGTGGCAACCAGCCCATGGCCAGGGTCAGGGCTGGCTTTAAGATCCTTTCCAACCTAAACCATTCTGAGATTCTGTGATTTTTACTGCCATTTTTCCAGGAAAATGAGAACACAAAACTTGTAAATACAGTCCCATTGGTCAATAACCATAGCATTTTTCACTTTTCTTTGAGATTCCAAGCTGTATGGGGTAATATTCAGGGTACATACAGAACTTCAAAACTCAGACACTAGTTTTGCCAGCAGTCCTTTCAAAGCTCTTTCTCACCTCCAGCATCAGCAGGTGAAAACATGTCCCAAGCATCTGCTGCCTCACAAGGCTGACAGCTGAATGTCAAAGCTAAATACCATTAATAAGTAAAAAAAACCTTGCAAGGTTTCTCCACAGAATTGGCCTGATTTTTATTTAGAAAACGTTTCCCTTGTGCTTGGATAATTGAAAGCTTCTACCGATAGCCAGGCATGGGATGAGACCAAATACCTTCAGGGTCCCAGGAAATGCCATTATCCCTGCAGCACACACAAATGCATTTGAATCTCTCATGGAGATAATGAAATGTTTCCACTGCTCGCTTCTTTTAAAAAAACATAGGAAAACTGCATTAATCCATTTTCTCTGAATGATTTCTGATTCTCTAGATGATGGAATTTTTCTCATAACACTTTTTCATTAGAGAAGTGTCTCCAGGAAATAAACGCTTTGTTCCGCATTGTTCTGGGCTCAGTTTCTCCTAACAGTTTTCATCTGTCTCTTCTTCTTGCCACTTAGTCTCACAGAGACAGACTTTCCTTCTCATTTTCAGTTGAGAAATATCATGAAGAGTCAACAACAAAAAAAAAAATTTTATATTGATGTGGTCTTTCTGCACAAACACTTGCAGTGACTGGCCAACAGGAAGTCAGCTGTGTTGGGGGGTGCTGAGCAGGTGGACTCTGAGGTGAGGGGAGAATTTTGAGACCAGTGTTTCTGTAACAAAGCGTAGTGCTGTTCTTCCTAGGAGAAGATTATTTGGTTATCGTCATGATAAATAAAGATTCACAGGAGAAACACAGAATCATTAAAGTTGGAAAAGACCATTAAGATCATCCAGTCCAACCATCACTCATCCCCACCATGCCCACAGACCACATCTCCATGGCTCTTGAACACCTCCAGGGACGGTGACTCCACCACCTCCCTGGGCAGTCTGTGCCAGTGCCTCATCCTTCTTTCTAAGAATGAATTTTTCCTAACATTCAGCCTGAACCTCCCCTGGCCATTGCCACATTTTTACCCAGATACTTCAAAAAAGTCTCACCAAAATCTCATTGAGCTCTGCCAAAGGTTAAGGCCACATCAAATTCAGCAGAGATCTACTTGCATTACAGGTTGAAGTTGTTCACAAAGCAGTCAGGAGAACAAAATCATGAAACACCTAAGCCCCATGGTGTAAGCTGGTCACATAGTGCTTATGGGCACAAAGTTCACAAATACAAAATAACATCAAGAAAAAGGCTTTACACAGATGTTATCTCACTTGCCTGTGAAGCTTAACAAAGGTCATTTTGCCTTCACAAAAACCCTGGTGTTGTTTCTTCCTGCAGGGTGTCAAAAAGATAAAAGTAGAGTGAGCAAGAAGAAAGTCTATCACTGCCTCTGGAATATTATTTGTCCTCTGTTATGATCCATGGGGAAGCACAGATTGCAAGCCATCTTTTCATGTGATGGATAATGTCCTGATTAGTCACAGTAAGAAGGCTCAGTGCTACAAGAGAAGGATGAATACAGTCCAGAGTCATTTCTAGAGAATCAAACAGCTGAAGGAGCTGAGTAGCTCAAGACAGAGATATCTGTGATGAAGGGACAAATAAGATGTTGTATAATAAATGAATATAAAGATGCTATAATTATGAAATAAACCAGAGTTTGGCTAAGCAGGTTATAATAACAAAAAGAGAATAGATAGAATGCTTACCTGTGTCCTGGGCTCACTGCAAAACCCTAGAGGAGGGATCTCCAGAAGATTCCCCACTGGCAGTCAGCTCTTATGTGGGTCTAGGAGAGGTGCAGCCTGGCTCCACCTCTTCCTGCAGCACAGGTGAGTTGCCTCCACCTGTGCTCCCTTGGCTGCCTCAGTGCTCGCCTCAGGTGATCAATCAGGCTGTGACTCAGCAGTTCCCATAGAGATGTGCTAGTGAAAAACCTAAGAGGCATGGAAAGGTGAAAGAGCAAGCCTAGAAACAAAAGCTATGAGTGCAAAAAATATAAGACTTAGAGCTAAGCTTTAGCCCTCACAGGCAGTTTGCTAGATGGACACTCCACAAGGGGATCTGGGAGCAGTCAGATGGAGAATTGGAGTGTGAGGCCCAGGGCAAATATAGTTCTTTTAATAAAATCCAAGTCAGATCTTATTTTTGTTGACAGGACACAATGATTTCAGGCAAATTTTTCCTATTTACACCATTATCAGCAAGATCAAAATCCAGGCCCAGAAGAAGCCAGGACACAATAAAACCAACTCTTTGAAGTTCAGGGAACAAAACACAGGCTGACTGCAAACAAAAGAAAGAGCACTCTAATCAGTGCACCTTTTAAGGCTAAGATGCACTTCAAGATTTCAGAATTGCAGTCATCAGATGACTATAAAAGAATATATTCAGACCTAGAAAACATTTTTCCTAATTCTTGGTAAAAAGCCATTATTTAGCATAAGCAAGAAAGATCAAGTGAAGTCAGAGAAATGGAATACAAAGCAATGATTTTCATTGTTGTTTGGATATTTCTGTTTGTAATTTCTTCCAGAAAGAAGCAGCAGGCTTTGAAGCTTTCACTAGGTATGCAAGCATAATAATCAATCCATCAGAAGAAAACATACGTAGAATTGAAAGCAGCTCAGAGTAAAGAATTTGCTGGAATCTGACCTTGCTAGCATAACTCACTCTTAAAAATTAGCTGATAAGCAAGTAAGGATTTGAAAAGAGCAATTATAACTTACTAGGAAAAGCAGAGATTAATAGGTAATAACTAGAATAAGCTAAAAAGAGAAGTATTGATACTATCTTTAAATGGTAAAAATGGAAATTATGTTTTTTAATTCATTGTCTACCAATGAATTAACATGACTTACCAACTATGTAAGTACTCAGAATAACAATAAGCATGTAAATTTACTTCAGATTCTGATCCATACTCAGTCTCGCACAGTAGAAGGGACAACTGTATTATCTTCCCAGCAAACTTTAAACCCACACCCATGCCTGCTATAGAGGTTTCCTGCAATAGCATTTAGTTTGTATTTATGTGAATTGATTGATTGAAAATCTCTGAATGATACACTGCCTTGTCTCCAAACAGCTGAATAGAGATGAGCATTCAGACAGCAATTAATATCATCTCAGGGCATCAAGCAGAAGAGATGTTATCTAAAGCTGACATTGGTATGGAAATTAAACATGTTATGTCTGGCAAGAAGCTTCTAAACAGACTATAAAGGCTATGAAGCTGTAATGTACATTTGTTTAAATATCTGGTTGCGTTTTTTCCTTTGCTTTACAGTAGTCTTTTCAGAGCATAGGGATGGTTCATTCTGAATTTCATGGGCATGGTGTAAGTATCATCACACATCATTTCTCCACCCAAACAGATGATAATGACTTGCTGTTTTCCTGCTTACTGTGATGCCTGGAAACCAGGGGAGGCATGAGAAGGTAATTTGGGAAGTGTGTTTCTCTGAAAATCCTAAGGGACTAAGAAGCACGCACATCATGCCAAGCACTGGTCATTACTGTAACTCATGTGTAGACAGCATTTCTAAAGTCCGTTGTCTAAATACCGAGTTTGCATTTGACACAAAATCCAGTGGATCTTCTCTTCCAGCTCTTCTCTTTTCAGTGGGGTTTTGCTGAGCACAAAAGAATAGTAAGCTAGCTTTCCAAAGAGTCTGCTTCCTAGCTTGCCAGTTATCATTTCTCCTTGACATCTATTTTATAAGTCAAACCAGCAAATAAAAGCGTAACTACCCTGGGAGCTCTTCCACTCACTTTTGCTGTTGTTATCCATCTACTTCTCCGAAATATCAGTGTCTTCTCATTTAATTTTTCTTGCATTCCTGGCCCTGAGTTATTCCTTTCTTCCCTCTGAAGAGCAACTTCAGAAAAATCCTTGGGCTTCTGAAGCCATCATCATTTTTTGCCATTAGTTTCCCTTGGACCAGGATTTTCCCTCTTGAAATTTCTGCCCATGTCAGTGCATTGTGCTGTAATGTTTTAGCTTGTATCACAAGTGTGCCTTCGAATGGAGTTTCCCAGTCACTTCCACTTACAGCACTGTAATTCATATCACAGCTTTATCTTGAGTGCCAAGCTGGACCAGTTTTGGACAAAACTGAACAAGAAGCAGCATTGCAGGTGTTGAGTGTGCAGGACCAGGATAGAGTAAGCCTCAGAAAAACACACTGAAATGCTTTTAGTGCATACCCAGGATCATCACTATAATTTGCAGCACGTTCTGCTCCTATATCTGTTCACACCAATTTCCAGCACAGATATGCATGAAGTCAAGGCATATTGATATTGTATGAGTCAATCTGATCTCAGCATGACTAGACAGTGTAAGACACATTGGCAGTATGCAGTCCTGGGGTGTCAAAAGTGAGTGAACATCTGAGTCTGAATGGGAGAGCTGGGAGCTTACAGGGAAGTGGAACAGCAGCAATCAGCAACATTTTCCTTTCTGAGACCCCCTTAACACATCCCTACCAACCTGATCAGCCAGCCCGCAGCTTGGAAGAAGAGAACTCCATCTGGCATACTGCCATTGGAGATTGCTCAGAAACTGCACTGAACATTGATGTAATAAGCTCAATGGAAGCAGTGTTGCAAAAATCAAGCTGCTTTTTCCTTATTTGACTGGATGCAAACATTTGTTTCATGATTGAAACTTGGCTTTGAAGACAGGAATATAGAACAAATCTACTGATGGCAACATTTGGAGAAGCCATTATGAGTGGTATAAAGCAGGAGGGAAAGAAAAAAATCCTCCTATGTAGATCCATCAGCATTTTGTGTCTGTTTTTACAGAGGTTTATAGGGTTAAATGGCAAAGCATAGGAGGAAGAACTCCTGTTTTCCTCCCTGGAGAAAAAAGGAAAAAAAAGAAATATTTAGATACAGCTCTTCAATATCCAAAAAGTGTGTTCATAAAGGATTTTTAACGCTCTTAGAGGCTAATTTCTCTAAAGACACACATTAAAGGAAATGTCTGTATTCTTGAATAAGCCGGACTCTGACCATCAGTTTCATTCACAGCATATTTTGAAGAATCAACAGCAATTTACCAAAGCTTCTTTGACTAAAGCTGCCAGCTCATCCAACCTGTCTTGTAGGGTCAGTGAAGTCTATGAAGGTATGTTGCAAGGATCATGACCCAAATACTTTCATGCTCTACTCAGATGCACTGATACAAGGATGAATTTTTAATCAAGTCAAAACAAAACAAAATTAAATTTTAAAATGGACTAGTAGTAATGTAAAGAAAAAGCCTTTTCCCTCTCCCACATTATGCCATTAAAATCCCAAAATGTCCTATTTCTTAATAATGAGATGGTTAAATAATGCTATACCAAAGTGGTCCTTATATAATTTCTTACACATTTCTTCTGTATTGTAAAGCAATTATCCAGCTATGATGAACAATTTCCAAGAAAAGTTGTGAATTCATCTCTCTGCACAGTGTTCTACTGATCGATTTAGTGAATTTCAGCAGCCAAGAATCTTCTGTGACACACTGGGCAATGCTCTCCTTCACTCACTGCTTTGAATGACCTTCATGCAAAAGTAAAGTTGCCACTCTTCGAGTATGTCTCTCACATAGATGCAGTGAAGCTTAGTAATTCATGCCGTTCATGCGGGTTCAAGATGAACAGTACCAATGAACCAGTATTAATTGGCTATCATGCTGAATGAAAATAAGCGAGAGATATCCTGCTTTTAAGTAGAGCATATCTAGCCAGGAAAGTATATAAAAGTTATTAAGTGTCAGGTAGAAGCGTTCAGAAGAGTCTGCTCTAGATTTTTATACTCAGAAGACTTGAGAAGTATGGGTCTGATGAAAGATGGAAATGAAACAATAAGGTTACATTTATGTAAATATTACAGAGCCTGAAAGTGAAGATAGGCAATCATGACATAGCAAGAATATGCTTCTGGGAAAAACCATTAACACTCACAGTAGAGTCAGCAAAGGGGCCAATATAAGTGCTCAGTAGAAGGGTACAAGTATTTGTTGCATTAGATATTATGCCATCTAATGTAACAATCACTCAAGCCCTTACACGTCCCATTCTGCATCACAAGAGAATCTATGCAGGACATGGAGCTCCTGGATTCTGATCTTGTACCAGAGCATCTCACACAGCACCTATTTCATCCTCTGGGTTATTTCCATTTGATTTCTTTAGGATGGCAAAACCAGAATGGCTTTGACTTCCCTGTACAAAAGGGAAATGGACACCAGAGACAGAGCAAGTTACTTTCTGTAACCTTTGTGAACATAAAACTAGGATGCCTATTTTTTTTTTTAATCTAAGCAGCTGATGTAGGTGTACACAACAGATAATTCACAGAATCGTTATGTTTGGAAGAGACCACTAAGATCATCTAATACAACCACCAGCCCCACCGTGCCCAGTGACCACGTCCCTCAGTGCCACATCTCCATGGTTCTTGAACACCACCATGAATGGTGACTCCACCACCTCCCTGGGCAGCCTGTGCCAGCGCCTCACCAGTCTTTCTGAGAACAATGTTTTCCTAATTGTCCCAAATAGTTGCATGCGTCTGTAATTCATTGAGGAATCACAGAATCACAGAATTGCAAGGTTGGAAATGACCTGCAAGATCATCTAGTCCAACCACCCTCCCATTCCTATTAGTACCACAAGCTACTAAAGCATAACAGTAACTAACAGGAGTTGACAGACGACATTAGGAATACTGCATTGAAAAGCCACACTGATCAATATTTGATTCCTGGCAGCTCAAAACTCAACAGAATAGTTCATTTGGAAAAGACCTTCAAAGAAGTTAAATACACACAGCATGAACTGAACTCCCAATGTTGCTCATAGCTGTGTGCTTGACCTCT